ATCAGATGTGGATACTTAAATATTCCAAGCAACATTTGGAAAATTTGAAATCACAAAACTTTACCAAATTCAATAACATAAAAACTTACGATTTTTCAACTCTGTATACAACTATTCCCCACAATGAATTAAAGTCCAGGCTTTTTGACATCATTGACAAGTTAGATTTTGCACGTTTCAATTATCTTATTTGTTCACTGTTCTATTAAAAATGTATCATATACAGATAAGCATATCAAAGCAAAACGGGTCAAACCTAAGGTGGTGACTGTTCCTTCGTCAAGCGCCCGGCACTAGAAGTGAAGGTCAAGGTCTTTCGGATGAGACCTTATAAACCGAGGTCTTGTGCCACGGTAGGCGTTGGCACGATAAAGAACACACTGCTCAACGGCCCTGAGTGTCGAGTAAAGGTTTAAATTTGAAGCCCTTACGACGTCTCTATTTGAGTGAAAAATCCTCGAATGGGACGTTAAACAATATACAATCAATCAATCAAAGCAAAAAAGTGGCAAGTTTCAAAGTTCTTACTCCTTTTTTTAATCTGTAACCTTGATTATTACAATGTTGTCTTATTTAATTTAATCAACCAATTCTAAAAGTATTCTCAAGGTGTTCCTTCTCCAAGTATACATGTCCTTGTGAAAATACCCAATTAAAGGATGCCACACTTTCAAATATAGAGATGACGCACGTCAATGTCGGGCCGGCTATATTACACTGTACCTTCACAAAAATGAATACCTTGAGGTATCTAATTTCAGACACCCCAACTTTAATATCGAATTTTATTAATTTATCGATCATTAACCTATTTTAACAAGTAAATGAAATATAATTTGCATACATAGGTAGTTTCACTTCTAAGCAAAAGTTTTGATGATTCTGGGCATTGCAAAAAATACAAACTAATAAGGTCTTAACGGTAAAAATTTCGTTTGATTCCCTGGGATCGAAACAATGCTTTAGAATTCGCAGAACACAGAAACAGATTGAGTATTAATTAAGAGGGTTAAAAATACGATGAATTTAACTTGACACAAAACTGTGATCCTCCGGCAAGATTCGTCAAAACGGTGCCACGTGAACTCATTCAAGGCCTTCGATAAAAAATATTTATGAAATTTTCGTTTACCAACGTGTTATTGTAATGCATATTCTTGCTATTTGAGATATTAGAGAATGTTTTGAGTAGGCAATTTTTAACATATTTTATCCATATTGTAAACACGTAAACATGCAATATAACACTATTTTTATGGAGAAAGTATGAATCTGCTGCATGTTATTGTATATGAATTTTACGAAGGACAACACTTTTTTTTTTTTTTTTTTTTTTTTTTTTTTTTTTTTTGTAGGAAATTATCATATTTCATAAATTTGTATTTAATTATATCTTTATTTGTATTATTATTATTTTACTATATATTATTATTGTAATCTCAAAACTTCTCAAACATCAATAGTATCAAAACATGACTTTTCTACGCGTTATACAATAATTCCTCACAATAAATTACAAAAGCTTTTTGAAATCATAGACAACTGCTTCCTAAATAAAAATGGAACTCGTGAATTTTTATATCTTATGATTGGTCATCTAAAAAATTGTTAAAATCATAAATGATTTTGATTCTACATACAAATATTCTAAAGTTGATTTCAAAGTTTGGTGGAGTTCGTCATTGACATCATCTATGTAGTCCTTGGAGACCAGGTTTACCAACAATCTGTTGGAATTCTGATGGGCACTATGGTGCTCCTTTATTAGCGGACCTGTTTTTATATTCCTATGAAGCATGTTTCAAAAACTTCTTCAAAAGAAGAAGAAATCTCTTGCTGCGGCCTTAAACTTAACATTTAGATATATCGACGGCGTTTTATCAATTAGAAGTATTACTTTCATTCATATGGCAGCTCCATTTATATCAGTAAACTCGAAGTAAAAGACAATAGAGAGTCTGCCACATCTATTTCATATGTGGATGTTTTACTGACTACAAACGATATTGGCCAACTAACACAGGTGCATGTGGACAGACCCCCCCCCCCTCGAATATAAACCCTGGGTGAAAGGATATTTTTATTTGTCTTCTTTCATACATTAATCTTCTAGTACACATTTACAATGTATTCCATATGAAAAATCCAAAAAATAATGTAGAATTAACGTTTTATTAAAAATTCATATCCGCGGTACTACCGCATGATAATGCCATGAATAACATTGTCATCAATATGGGAGTTTGTATTCTCCTCAGAGAATAGTGCTCTTTCATCTTGTGAAAACCCTTTATGTCACTTGTAAATCAATGAACTGGAAATATTTCCTCAATTCCTTTTTGATTGATTTATTTTTCGTCTTTTCCATCGGATCGATTTTATTTAGTTTTGGTTTGATTTATGAAAAAATATAATTATTTAAATCCAAAAACTTTAATACAAAGCTTACAACATTTTAACCCTTGGCCGTGCACACTTTCTGCGACATTATAAGATTTTTATATTAAATACGAGGGTTGTTCGAAAAGTTCGTGGACGATGTCAATCCTCGTTATACTACTTTCAAGAAATTTAATATAAGCACATTATAATGTGTTAAAATATTTATTTTTTTGATGTGTGAAGTTTCATTTCATTCGATTTGCTAGAAATCAATTTACTTTATTTTAAAATAAACATGTTTGATAACCTCGGAGCAAACTAAACAACATTATAACGTCAAAAATATAGCGTCATGAGGTTCTCAAAATATTTTCCCTATACATTTCACACAGTCTGGTGTAATATCTGCTCATTTAAAACGTGTCTCTATCAACTGAGATTCATTTTAACAATTGTTCCAGCAGCATAATTTTGATTGTCAATGTTTTCCTTTTTTTTTACGGCTTAACTATGCACAAGACCAGCAACCGTGAAATGCCTTTCTCTTTCCAAGACCTTACTAACGGAATGTTTATCTGGGTTGATTCTTTACAGATAATCCGTTTTCTCACAGATTGTCCTCGTCTGATACAGTCTCTATCATTCAAATACCGCCTAGGCCATTTACACACACATATGCATGACCCGCTTTTGAGATATTTCATGCTTCCTACAACATTTTCAGATTTTATTCTGTTTTCCAGAGTACAACAGAAAATTGTATCGTAAACTGCTGCTCCGTGACGTTCTACGACGTCACCTTTTTAGCCTTTTTCAATGAGGACTACCTACCTTCAGAAATTGATTTCTTTTCCATGACGCAAACTATTAAATCACAATTTAGAATATGAAGCGATGTAGCAATTCTTAATTTGATTGTCTAGATTTATTTTGGTTTTGAGCCATTTTACAGAGGATATGACTACAGACATTAATTAGCGTCTTGTTTGTAAATTACTAAATTTTGACTTGCTCCGCGAACCAATTTTCGCAGTTTTCAACTCCTAATAAGTTTGAAATAAATCAAGATATTTTAAATTTTTTTAATACAAATCATTTGAATTTATTGTTAGAATATTTCTACCAAATTTTGATATAATATGACTTTAAATAAAAAAGATATGACAGAAGTCCACGAACTTTCCGAACAACCCTCGTATAAGTTCAACAAATACAAACAAAAATACAAAATGTTTGTATATTTTAGGTACATATATCTAAGACTATTCAATAAAGAAAAAAGCGCCATTGTCCACGAAGCCCTCTTAAGCATAAAAAAGAGATTAAGTAGCCTTTAAATGTAAATGCTTTCTGATATTATTTTCTTATTTTCTGCTCCTTTAGGCTATCTAAGACAAAGGGTTCACGCAGGAGTAACCGGTTGATGCTGTACTCCTAAATGTCACATGATCCTACCTCTGCCTGTTATTTCCAGTGGTTGTTGTTTGCCCTGTTCTCAATTTTGTATTGTTTGGGAGATTGAACTTGATCACTGTTCGTTATCTCATTTCATTGTAGTATACCCTGACCAGATGAACAGGAACAAAAAACAGCATCATATTTATTTTTGCTGGAAAATAATGTCCTAGGCTATCATAAACTATTTATTTATTTTTTTTTATATTTTTATTGACATTTTTATTGACAACTTTATGATACGTCAAACAAAGGTAAAATGATCACTCTAATTTCATATGTGGAGATAACAACTATGTGGTTAGGGATGCGCGATTTTATCGGTATACCTGTATATCGTAATACGGAGAGTAAAATGCCGGTATTTGGTACATAATTAGAAATTCATTCCCAAAATTATCCATTTATATGTTCAAACATTTGAATTACAATTACCTGGAAGTGTAAAAAATGTTGCAAACAGTCAAACAACGGCATCCTAGAATCCAAACATGCTTTATATTATATAAATAAAAATGAAAAAAGTGAAGTAATGCTTTACAACATACCTGTAATAAATTTGAGTGTAAAAATAATGTCATGATTTTATCGTGGTAGGGGGGGGGGGGCGTGATACCAGGTATATCGTGATACGAAATTTTGGCGATACCTATCTCTGCATGTGGCCGTCCCGGTAGCTCAGTCGGTAGAGCGCTCGCTCCATGATTGGAAGGTCGTGTGTTTGAATCACGGCCGCGACTGACCTACGTCGATAAAAAATAGGTAGCAACTGTTCCTTCGCCAGGCGCTCGGCTCTTTGAAGTGAAAGTTGCAGGTCCTTCGGATGAGTCCTTAAAACCGAGGCCCCTTGTCACGGTAGGTATTGGCACGATAAAGATCCCTCACTGCTCAATGGCCCTGAGTGCCGAATGAAGGTCTAAATTTGAAGCCCTTCACCGTGGAGACGTCTCTATATGAGTGAAAAATTCTCGAATGGGACGTAAAACAACATACAATCAATCAATCGATCTCTACACGTGGTCCAATGCATTCAAACCCACTTAAACAAGTATATAAATATGTTGGGAGAGAATCCATTTCAATTCGATCTTTTGTCTTGCATTTTCTAGTAATCAAAGAATGTTTGTCCTTTTATACACGTACATAAACAAACAAAGCCTTGATGGGAGGTTTCTTATTTTATTCAGCACTTTACAGTTCTGATAATTAAAAAACAGTATATCATATCTTTCTAAATTCAATGAGCCATCAAAGTTAAAAACGCACAGGTAAAGGAAATATTTCAAGGATTAAACCATGAACCTTTTTAAAGAGGAGTTGCACTCGAACTCGGTAAGAAAATGACGATAATTAATGTGAAATATATTTTTAAGGTGTAACAAATGATGTTGAAACTTTTTATTCCAGGGCGGCTGAATGTAGAAAAATATTTGTAAAGAATATTAGCTTTGTTTAAATATATTTGTCGAGCATTCATAAAATTATGTACACAGATGAGAAGAAGATGGATAAAGCCAAGATTTCAGCTACCTTTAAAATTTTGTAAGTGGTTTTCTTAAGGACAGACGATACGTTCCTCAATAATATATAATTTTTTCCAAGATTTTGTCATTGAAGTATTGCTACTTTGACATGTTTACTCACAAAAAATGAGGTACCTTACCAGGCATTTGTGCAAGATACCAGAGGATGATGTTTTCCTATATAATCCTTTTGGGAAAAACTTTATTTGTCAATATCACACTTTTAGTGTTTCAATTATTTTAAGATGATAAGAAACCTGCTAAGAAATCAGAAGGTAATTAAAATTTTGAATATTTTTTCCTACATTACGAAGATTTGCAAAACAGATATGAGGAACGTATCGTCTGACCTTAAGTAATTGCGTACACTTTAACAACCGAATACATAGTGAACGTAATGTGATAATGAGGGACCTTGTATCACATTATGTATCAACATGTAAATTACAAAGAAAAAGTATAATTCAAAATATTAATTCTGACTGCTACATTTAAACATTTCATTCTTTTTACCCTTTCAGGACTTTTCTCTTATGGATTATGCTTGATGTGCATACTTTTACAATAAATATTAGATAAAATGTGATGAAAAATTGTTTATTTGAAATATTCTAAAGTTGACAACATAATTCCAGAAAAACTTTCAATGACTCTCTACGAAATTATATGTAAAATAAGTCTATGCGGGAAGAAACCATAATGGATTGCGCTTGTTCACTTCCTCATTATTAAGGACTTTTAATGAGCCTTTTGGTAACACTTGGCCACACAATTGTCGTTGATGTTGAGAGAGTTGACCATTTCGTCTCTGTCGTTGTCCACATCACTGAAAATATGCCCACTATGGCCCTCGATATCGAAAAACATGTCCACATCATAACCCTTGTCCGATATATATGCCTACAAAGGTGAAAATTATTATACGATCTTTCTAAAAATAAAAAATAACCCTTTAATGATGGAAAATTTCTAACAAAATTACACCCTCATGATCTATTTTATTTGTATTTTTCTTTTAAAGGATGTTTTGTGCATAGGTTCGAGTATTGCTCGTTGAATGGTAGTCATCGATGTTTTAAGGAAACAGATCCAGGTAATTTAAGGATTCGCTTCTATCGATTATATACATCAATATTAACATTCTCCTGAAATTCAGAGGTAAGAAAAATACAGTAGTCATTGGTCTAATGAAGAGAAATTATACAACCATTTAATTTCCCTTAAACAGGGAATGTTTCTGGTAGTCAATCAGCTTTCCAACATCTAAAATCTACATCTAATGAAACGATATAAGCATCTGCGTGGGTAAATGCATACATTGAAAATCGCGACACAAACAGATTTTAGAAAGAGATTTACAGAAAGTGGAGAATCAATGTTATTTCTAGGAGAGGAAAAAGAAATAATCTCTCTGATTTAGCATTTCAAGTCTAACTATTAATCAATAACGTGGATAGAATGATTGTTAGTGATAGAGAAGGGGAATAAAAAATTCATCAGCCTTATATAATTACATAGATTTTTAATACTATTTTTACTTTATTTATGTATTTATATATTTATTTATATTTTTTGCAAATATTAAATCCCCATTCTTTTCATAATTGCATTATAGAAAAACTTAGCTTTCCACATCTGATAATGTAAAAAAAATTACAGTTCGCTTTCAAATGATGAAATTCTTTATAATAATGCTTAGCTTTTAAGTATATGTAGTTTCACCCTCTTTAACATTATTGTTATTTGAATTTATGTAATGTGATTGATATCGACCTATTTAATGATGAAGTATAATTTGATTTGATTTTGATCCAACAGGCAACTAGTAACAAATACATATTATTTAGTATATTTCATTTGTTAAAAAAAAAAAAAAAAAAAAAAAAAAAAAAAAAAAAACATTAAAAGGCAGACTTTCAAGGATCTGTTTACCTGTTACATAGCATAAGTTCATAAAAAATAACTTAAAAATTAATCTCTTTTAACGTTTATGATTGTGGTATTAACAAAAATTCTCCGAGCACCCTTTTCCTAACCTTTTTCATAGAAGAGTTTGTCAATTTTTATATATTGTACTATACGTAGATGAATTTGTAAGCATGTATTGTCTCAAGACATGATGAATAAAATCTAAAACAATTAGAAACCTACAATCTGAAGTAACATGTAGAATAACTTAATTAATAATTAATAATAAGTCATGAATGAAATATGTGGAGATAACGAACAGCATACGAGCTCAAATGTGCATTAAACATTACGAAATAGGAGCAGAGCAAACACGGACCTCCAAAACATCAGAGGTGGGATCAGGTGCCATGGAGGAGTGAGCATCCCCTGCCGACCGGTCACACCCACCGTGTGCTCCTTGTCATGTTCGGGAAATAACGGAAAAATCCGTCGACAATTCAGTGTGTAAATAATGGCTTAACAATTAGTATGATAAAAGTCAGTCAGCATTTGACTTAATGAAAGATTGTATTTGCTGACAAGGTCATTGTATCGACCATAGAACATACGAAATGATGACTTTAAATGAGACTGCTGATATTCTTGTTTCATCAACTTGTTTGTCAATAACTTACCTCGTTTTAGAAATCGTTCATACGTAGAGCATTCTCTGGCGTATCGAATCAACTGAGAGATACAAACCCCGTATGCAGGTGATAAGGGTATATTGCTACATAAAGTTAGTCATCACGTTTATCATAAAGCTTTGTTGTTAGATTACCATCAATGTCTTTTACAAGTAAAATATCCAAATATGAAACAGAAGAGTCAGACTCTGTGGTATCTTTTATCTCAAGCTCACCAGGATATGTCGTATCAACATAAGAATGGAAATAACCATTGTTAATTGACAATACGTCGTCGATATATCTAACTGTCGAGTTGAAGGCCACAGCAAGTGTTTTCTTCTTTTCACGTAAAAGATTTTGAACAAATTCTGCTTCATATGAATAAAAAAATAGGTCTGCTAATTCAAGTCAATAGTAAGGTTTAATTATGTTTTTTATCCCATGTTTACCCCTTTATCCCGTGGATATGACTCATTGGATAAATTTTTCATAATCCACAGTTGTGACGTCACAATGGTTTTTGCGTTCGCGCGATGAAGTAAAATAAAGTGGAGTCCTATATAAAACAGTGTAAAACATTGGTTGTGAAGTATTAAACATGGGATAAAAAGAATCTCCCATGATTTGTAGTTGGATATGACTTTTATCCAACTCGTCGTGTGTTTTTATCCCCTCGCCAAGGCTCGGGGATAAAAAACACACAACTCGTTGGATAAAAATCATATCCAACTACAAATCATGGGAGATCCTATATTTATGCTTTAGCCAACCTTAGCAAAAGGCTCAAGTTAGTTTTTCTGATCAACATTTGTTCGTCTGTTGTCTGTTAACTTTTCGCATTTTAGACTTCTTCTCCAGAAACAGTTGACAAATTTCATCAAACTTCCCACAAGCCCTCTATAAAGGAGAAATGAGTTAGTAATTTCACATTTATAACTTCTCCGGAAACGATTGACAAGTTTCGAGCAAAATTACTGCAAATGATCTCTCTATTAAAATCTGTTTAAATGAAGAGTCTAAGCCTCTATGAAGGGGAAAATAATTGAGAAATAGCAAAAATATGGTGTTCTCTATTAAATGTTTATCTCTTAAGAATCACTTGGCCAGAAAAGACAAATACCAAATGAATGTACTTAATGAGGGTAGATGTTTTGTTTGCTTAAATCAAGAAGAAAATTCTCCGAAATTACGTTAACAGATATGAGTTTGGGTTTCCGTACCTAACCTGGATTCAAAAGCGTTATAAAAGTTCTTTTTAAAAATATTGCAGGGTCCATGAAATGTTCTACGAAGCCCTTATCTTTTATAGATAAACTTCATATGTACTTTACTATAGTATATTCAAGAAGTAATGGAAATCAAATGTGAATTCACCAAAAATCAAAAGTTATAACAATGGTAATTTTTTTAGTCGTATGTTGAATTGATATATCCTAGTGAACTTGAAAAAAAATACACATCCTAGAATTGACCAAATCTGTTTCATATTTGGATGTTTTACTGATTATAGGCGTTAATGGCCAACTAACAACTAAGCCACTATGACAAACAGGACAAGATCAGGTTTTTTTTTCATCTCGTCTTCTTTCCTTATTTATGTAGTAATGTACCACTATAACCTGCGTATGGTGTTTATGTCTCTCAGCTGCATGATTCGATTTGAAAGATCATGCTCTGAGAATGATCAAGTTTTAAAAGGAGACATGCTACTGTCAATTTTTCAGTGCTTTCAACAAACTCGGTTAAATTTAGCATTTGGCAAATTCTAAGGTCATTATAATGACCTCGTTTGCAAATATAACCTATTGTTCGGTAGTATTTTGACTGTCAAGTTTCATAGAAATTGTTAGGCCAATATTTTCATACTACGGAGTACTTAGTTTAACTGATCAATACAGAGAATTGACCGGTCTACAGGAGCTGCTTGCTCCTGGTTTTTCAAGTGGTATATTTTACAATTTGTATTGTTTAAATTAATTTCTGAGAAGGATCACTGTCCGTTATTCTCTTTTCATTATATAACCATTCCTTACTACAAAGGAAAGACATGTTTTCATGTACGTAGGAAGCAGTTTCAGTTGGGGTGACCAAATATTTTCAAGTTGGTATGGCACTACCAAATAAGAATTCCTTGACAAGCAAAATAAGGTTATCAGTCGAAATTATTGCGGGGACACAATAAAGTTACTTTCTTCTCTGGGGTATACATGTACTTTATATCGGCAAAATTATTGGGGCACGCCTATCGGTGCCCACCATAGTTCCTGTGGACTTGTCTTAAACAGCTTTTCTTGTACAAATGAAAATATTTCATATTTCTTTTTCTAAGCGTCTCGAAGAGAAAGACAATCTTGATATTTGATAATTATGTCAATAATCATAGGTTCCTGTAGTGTTTCAAGCTCACAAAAGTCAAACATAATCAAAGTGACCATCGTGTTTTGGTTTGTTCATGACATTCAAAGCCATCATTCACATTAAAAATTAAATCAAGAGTAGGAAACATGTAATACAATATTGTATTCCTCCTAGCCACCTGATCACACTTCCGGTGTTTCCACAGGTCCGTGTCTTTGCCGTATTTACGTTTCGTTATGCATACAGGATTTTTTAAAATTGATTAAAGTTTCTTTTTTCATCTCTTACATTTACTGTCTTGTTCAACTTACTGTAGTTTCCACTGGCTCACCATCTATCCAAACATGCAGGTTATCGCGGGCTAAAAACAAATATATTGAGGTATGGTTAGCAACCCATTTAACAAATGCAAATCAGAATCAGACGCGTTAAACCATAGAATGATTAACGAACAATTCAAATTTGTATTTCTCCAAATCATAATTAGATGCGTTTAGGAAATACTTTAAGAATCAGTTTTGTACAACACATACAAAAAATGAAATATTATTAACGTTCATTGCAGCAATTGAAATCTTTAAATCTACATTCAGGTGCCTTCAATAAAACATAAATCTTTTACTCAGTCTGGAAAACAATCAAAGACTCTTTCAGTACGGATATTACTTTAAATAGACCTTCAATATTATTTTTTTAATATTAAATCTTTCATATAGTTATCTTAAACTCTTATTATAGGTAGCTATCATAGAGTCTTAATATAGCTATCATAACGTTATGTGCGAATAACAATGATGTCATAAATGTTTATTTGGATCTTTCTGTATTATGGTATTGTCTGTAGAAGCATACTCGGCACAAAACTTTTTTATTTCTTTTTAGCCAAGGTTAAGATAAATTGGATACATATACAGTGTACTTGCATAATTTAAATCTCATTTCACGAAAAAAAAGAGAAATGAAGTGAAACAGAATGCAGTTTGGGTAATTGCTCTAATAATATGTGGGATCAAAAGTATAATTAAGCATGGCCTGTACGCAGTGTACAATAATAAAACAACAATTTGTAGATGACACAGAAACAAGGTTTTTGTTTTCTTCGGAACATGATTCTTTCGATTAAAATATTGTTTAACAACATCCTAGCGTAATGCATTTTATCTCTATATTAGTTTCGAAGTCATAAATTCCCTCCTACAGAAAGGATTTATGACAGATATAAAACTTTTTATCACAATCCCATAAAACCCGCAAAATGAAAGACAAAATAAGTTTAAATATTATTAGGATATATTATTTGGAATGGACATTTGAATTCTGTAGAAATTATCATTGGGATTAATTATTTGATTCTTCAGATTATTTACAAGTTATAGGAGATTTTTGAGTCTACGTTCGGAGTGGGCTTTGACTTTGACATCTGACTTTTAAATCACTTAACTATAAGAAGCCTATGGTTTTGTCAAGTTTCTGTGAACAGCTTGCACATTATTGTCACAACCATCGTCATTTTCATTTATTTGATAACTTAAATATATTTTCATTAAAAATTTGAATCAAAAAATCATTTTGCACAAAGGATTAGAATATTTAGCTGGAAAAATGAATTCGTGCATTCCATTCGTGCTTACAAGGACCCTTTTTTCCAATACGATTTATGATTATTTGAGAACAGCCAGTGATCACTGTCAATAAACATTGATATCCTCGGTTAATTAATGACAGTTTTGTATACATACAAAATGAAATCTTATATTCCTTGCCGTCGATTTCTATTTCCCAACCTGTTGTCAGCTTAGCGATGCCATCTTGTGCAAGCTTTCCGGCCTTCCTGTAAGTAGAGACGTTATTTGTATTTTCGGAAATATGCAATCTATTAGGACGTTTCGAAATTACTACAAACTACAAAGAATCTTTTGTTGCACTTTTTCTTCGAATCATTTTTTCACACATATCACTTTTTTTTTAATCATTTTTTTAAGATGGTAAAAAATGTTGTGATAATTTTTTTCAATCTTTAAAATCAAGTAAGAAAACCAGAACCGTTTTCATCATTGTAAGCATCTATATGATGTATAAATTTAATTTTGTGAGGCCTTAGCATAAAAGACATTTAAACGAGTCGCTTTCAATGATTTGTAGTCAATTGCAATTTACAAGGCATTTGGAATTAAATGCCGTTGCCTAAACTGTGGATTTTTTCTGCTTAATAACATTAATTTTAATAATTAAATACATTGTAATCATTTTGAAAGTCGTGGAACAATTTCATATTAAATTTAAAATTAGCTTCAATAGAAACCCAAGCTTAAGCTGGTCGGAAAATGTTTTCTCAGGGGTACTGTTCTTGTCATACATTTCACATGAAAATGTTTCGGAATCAATTTTTGTAAAGAATCAATATCTGCGGCTCATTTAAAAAGATGACATAGTTTTTTATATCAATGGTACCAATGATTGCTTATCTCCAGTATGAACCTAAATTGCTGACTGAGTACATTTTTTTTTAGTTTTGATTGTTTTAATATTTTGCTCAACTTTAAACAATTACAAACAAAGATAACCAGGAATTTCAAATCTCAACTGAGTTTTGCATTTGAAAAAAGTTCAGATTAATCTAAAGTATAATACCAATACCTAGAGGATATTCAATGTTTTGTTCCTGAATATGGAATTTATTTCACAAGTGTGACAGGGATTTTATGCCCCTGGATCGAAAGATCCTGGGGGTATATTGTTTTTGTCCTGTTTGTCTGTCTGTTGTCAACTTTAACCTAGCCCATAACTATTGCGCTGTCAAGGGTAAGGCTTTATTATTTGACATGAGTGTTCATTATGACAAGACCTTTCCATTGGATCATGTGACCTCAACTGAGACCTTTGACCTACATTTGAAAAAACTTTAACATTGGCCATAACTATTGCACTGTAGTCTACGTCCCACTCCAGAATTGTGTTACCAATGGGGGCATAGTGTTTCACAAACACATCTTGTTTTTATATTTTCATGATTGCGAAGCACGAGTGAAAATATAAAAAAAAAATCCTGTCTCACGAGTTGTGACGTCATAGTTTAGGGGTTGAGATGTCAAAGTTTAGCAACTGTGAAATTGAAAACATTGTAACATGGATTTTACTATGTTTCAATAAACTTAGCAAGTGTGAAATTGAAAACATTGTAACATGGATTTTTGAGACATATCTGGGAAGAAATTATCAGTTTTAGTCTCTATCAAGATGATTTAGTTAGTAACTCGAACTTATGACAGGCTAGAAATTACTTTTACTTACTTTGATATCCTTTCACACTGTGAGAGAATATTACTTTAGTATCCCTTCACACTGTGAAAGAATATAACTTTACTTTTATTCAATAAATAAATCACAGTATTTCACTGTTAAAATGTAATAAAATGCATTTTGTTACCGTAATATGTTTTTTTCATCGGTTTTCAACTACATTGCAATTTACTGTTCCATATAATCATGTTAAAATAGTAATTTTGTAACAAAGTACATACAAATATATTGAAAAAGTAGGCTGACGTTATTGTATTTGACTTCAAATCATTGATTTCTTCCAATAGAATAAAGTTTAACTTTCCACACGCCAAATCGATTGATTTATGTTGATAATGACCCATTGGTTACGACTTGTCCACACCATCCATTAAATACCTCACTCAAATTTCAAGAACGGTAATTAGTTTATACAAATAAAGTAAATTTTATAAATATTTTCCGTACGAGATCGATGTCTCAAGAGGCTTTGTTGCAAATGTTTAAACGTGGTATTGGAGAGTAATCCTTTTGAAACTGGATTGATTTTAGAGGTTTCAGCGCTGGAAAAAATGGCATATAGAGAAGTGCTTAGGCTTTCAATGTAAAGTTTCTTCAGAGTTTTTGTAAAACAAATGTTAGTTTTAGATAATAGGCACGTTGACGAATCTGGAAAACACTTTATCTCTGGAATAAGTCGATGGTTAAATTGTTTATACTAAAACTGTTATTAAAAGTCTGAATTCAGAAGATAACTTGCTATGTTGTTCACAGTTATTGTGTTGAGTTGTTCTAAAAGACTACTCTTCTTGCAGTTTTGGTTGTTCTTTTCAATTATTTAAATGTATTGGATTTCCAACGTTTCGGCATGAGCATCACTGAAGAGACAATTTGTCGAAATGCGCATCTGGTGCATCAAAATTATTACCATATATGATTTACATTATGACCCCTGGGTCGAGGCCTCTGCTGGTGGACTGTTAGTTCCCGAGGGTCTCTACAGTCCAGTAGCTAGGTGCTTCGGTACTAGCTTGAAAATACGGATATATATTTAATTGCTGTGGTAAAATATAGAAATTTATTTCAAAATTATCTCCCTCATGCATAGCTCTGATCTTTCCACGTATTCGGCTCCAGTTTTTGGCACCTTTTTCAGCTCTTCAAAGTCTTTTTATTTAAATATTTTGGATTTCCAGCGTTTCGGCAGGAGCATCAATGAAGACATGATTTGTCGAAATGTGTATCTGGTGCATCAAAATTGTACCGTATATGATATATATTCAGCCTATTATCTTTCTTATTGATTGAAATGTTTTCATAAGCTAAACCTTTCTCCATTTTGTAAAGGTAGTTTGTGATCAAAAACGGAACTTGTTCGTGTAATTAATAAGTGAGATTCTGGGGAGGTTTTTTTTTCTTTTGTTTCTTGTCATTCCATTGGGAGCTGAATTTTATTTCGCTTTTTTTTCTTTTCTTTTTTTTTTTTTTTTTTTTTTTTTTTTTTTTTTGCTGTTGTTGTTTTATTGTATTTTATTCTCATTATTTTTTCATCCCCCCCCCCCTTCAAAATCTTCGTTTAACCAAAGAATGCAGAATAATACACTTACAATTTTTTTTTCTTTTTTTTTTAAATTGGAATGTTAAAACGTTTCAACCACTCACTTTAAACGTTTATATATTATAAGCATATTTAACAGTGTGAAGTTAATATTGATTTATCAATCAGAAGTGAAATTCAATTGGGACGATGATAATGTATTTTTCGATCTTTATTGCCATGACAGTTTGAAGAACGTATAAAATTCCCATTAAAAGTAACTTTACATACGCTTCATGTAAATATTTGTCCTCAACCTTTGTTCGTTCCTGGTTAATGAATTCTTGTACCAGTTACATTGCTTAGTAACAGATTCAGTTATATATTGACAATAATGGCAAATTGTCATCCACATTGCGCTTCCTTTGCAATGGATTGCTTACTTGTCGCAATTTTTTCTGGCTCAGTTATGATGTTTAGGAATCAATAAGAAACATTTTTTTCCTGATTAGATACTTTTACTAGTTATATTTTTGAAAGTAGATGTAAACTTTAAAACTGCTATCCTTTTATGTTTTAATGTTTGTTAAACTTTGTGTATTTCATCAAAGTTAAAAAAAACTTACCTGATAATTTTTTTCTTCTTAGACATATCCCGATTAGCAAGGTTCTTCTTACAAGACATTAGAATTACAGACATTTTGATATCTGACAAAAGACACCGAATTTGGGGGGTTAAATCAAGAGTGCCTTAATTTTTAAATCACTTCAAAACAGTTAAAACCAACCCACAGCGTTATCATCCAAGTTTCCCTATTGATAAGGAACCACTTAATACAATAAAGGTTTATATAAGGAAGAGTACCCTCTGAGTGGAGACGATAGATTCTCTCCAGGTAGCTCACTAAAGCAATATCAAATCCTCAACTTCAGCCAGCCGGCCCGCTAGAAAAAATTGATTTCCAGGTATACAAGGAGCTAATATCAACAGTGGCTCCGTCATCCAATATCGGAGCTCCCCGTGAAAGAGACACGGACACTATAGCTTATTAGAAAATTGGAATTTGTTACATGTCGATTAACAAGTGATGGCTCGATTAATTTTTCTTAGAGATTTCATAAATATAAAAGATGTGTCTTGTTACCTTTAGAATACATTCGAGGATTTTTCGTTGCCAATGAATAGTTTATCGATCTCAATCTAATATTAGGCAACTGTGATCCTTGTTTGCAAGGTGAATATTTCTCTATGAAAGAGAATAGCTTTTAATCTTTTTTTAATTAATCAATGTACTATTATTGTAATAAAGAAATCTGTTTTTGCCCACGAAGTGAAATCGTTTACAAGGAATTTGACCATTCTAAGAATACAATTTATGTGACAGAATAATGCTTTATCTTTCATACAATATAAATCCTCTTAATTTCGACACCCCTCTTTACAATTAACTTCTAAGATGAAATACAAACTGTACGTGAGTTAAAAGGTAAGAGAAGTTTTCTGTAAGCAGTATCGAATTAAGATTTAGCTCTGTAACAATATTTCAACAACTTGAATCCTTTCTTTACTAGCAAATGGGGCACGTCAATCTTGTATTCACTACTTATCTACATGTAATGAACTGTTCTTCTAAAAGATAATGAGGTTACTGCATCAGCTATCTATGTAATTAAATAAACCTTCCAGTTAGAGATACTGTATTTTTCCTTTTATATATAACTGTTTAGTCATAGAAATACCCGGATTTTGTAAATGTACAATGGAATTATGTAAAAAAAAAAAATTATGGTTTGTTGTATATAGATTGCATGTGTCTAAAATAACACTAGTGGACATTTTCTCAAGGACAGCATTCATAATATATGAATTCGAATGTATGTAAGTTGATATTTTGTTTCCCGAGTAAAAACATCACATGGACCGAGTTAATACAGTATAATTTCAAAAAGTGGGTTGTTAATTAGTATCACTAGTGGAAAATATAACATGAACCGGTGTCATATTGTATGATTTAAATGAGTGAGTTAATAGTTTCCCTATAATGTCAAAATATATGATTTGATTGTTTGTGGGTTGAAAGTATCACCATGAAAAATTTCAGATGCTTTGAATATCTGTGCGTTAGTATTATCACTAGTAGAAAAGAAAATGGGTGAGCAAAGCGTGCAGAATGCCTAAAGCTTCAGATATCTAAAAAATCATATTCAATTTGTGAATTTAGTATTTAAAGTGAAATTCTCATTATTGAAATTTAGGAAATTATGATCAACAAAACTTTTCTGAGAAAAAATTATTCTTTTATCAAAAAAAATAAAATGGTATTCGTGGTATTCGAACCCCTAACAATAAAGATCCGGAGAATCATAATAAATTGCTTTGAAACTAACACGTTAACCACTACGCTACTCAGCTCCTGATGAATAATGGCATTGATATGACCCTTGACTTAATGAACTTCAAGTATTTCTCGGGAAGATGCGAATGCTTTGTCATAAAAGTGTACTTTTAAAGTATAGTGGGTCTTTGCTCCATGTTTTTGTAAACCAAATAATGTATATTTTTATGCAAACTTTTAGGATTAACTTTCAAAGAATGGAGCGAAGACCCACTCATATCGAAAAAATTTATTAAAGTGTGAGAAAATGATCCTTTTTGTCCTCTTCAGTGTGTGTATGCTATTTCGTAGGCAAATAATTCCAGTCTTTGTGAGATTTTTGTAAATTGTAGAGATTTTTCATAAAGTCTACTTTAATGTTAGATGAAATATCAAAGAAAATTGTGATATAATTGAGATTTTATTTTTCACTTAATGTTTGTCGCACTATAGGCACTTCGCCCGCCTTGTTCATCCATTTTCTTTCTCATGGACTAATGCCAAATGGTACATTTGGTACATGTACATTTGAATGTGTGTTAATGGTATCAAAAGAAGAAACTATTTTAAAAACCGATGCCTTTTATGGTGTGTGTGTGTGTGGGGGGGGGGGGGGATTACATAGCTACTGGAAAATATTATATGAAGCCATGTCATATTAAATGATTTGAATGTGTATGATGTGTTAGTCTTACTGGTTGAAAATAATTGAATGTTAGTGGAATTTATTGCTAGAGGAAAATATCAAATAGACCGGAGTGTTATTGTATGATTTTAATGTATGTGTTGTTGATATCACCAATGGGAAATATAATATGGACCGGCATTGTTTTGGGTCGTGTGTATTGATGTTATCACCAATAGAAACAATGACCAGCGTCACATTACGTAATTTGAATGTATCACCTATGGTCTGGTGTTATATTGCTTGGTTTGAATAAATGAGTTACCAATATTATTCTTTCATGTACATTACTTGAATTTGATTAGTCGAGAAACATTTGATTAAAAACACTGTTTGAATGGTAAAACCACGCCCTCCAGCGCGATAGAACTTAGCAACAGTCGACATTACCTTTAGATGGGTGATATGCCAAAAAAATATTGACTGCGCTGAATCCATGCGCGCGCTTCACCTTTATTATACCCCCCCCCCCCCTGAAATGCAGGGGAGATATAGTGATGGGTGTGTCTGTCTTTCTGTCCGTAAGACGTAGGGTTACCCATCTCTTATCTGCAACTCCTCCCATACAAATGCACCACTGAGTAAAATTTAATGAGACTTTCAAAGAATCTTCATTACATAGTCCCATTGTACACCTTCTATTTTATGTTTCAATCAGACAGATATTTTGGGTTTACTATAGCAAAAGATTGACACAGCTTTTCTTTCTATAACGTTTGGGGGTACGCATCTCTTATCCGCAACTCCTACACCACTGAATAAAATTTCATGAGACTTTCACAGACTTTTTATTACAAAGTGTCATTGTGCACCTCTATTTTATGTTCTGATCGGACAGATATTTGGGGTTAACAATAGCTAAAAATAGACATTGGCCTCTTTTCTATAATATAAGGGGTACCTATCTTATATATACAACTGAATAAAATTTAATGAGACTTTCACAAAACTCTTTTACATAGAGTCATTGTGCACCTCCTATTTATATTCTGAATAAAATTTAATGAGACTTTCAAAGAATCTTTATTGTATAGTGCCAATGTGTATTTATGTCCTGATCGGACAGATATTTCTGGTTTTCCGTAGCAATAAATAGACTTTGTCATCGTACTCATAAGTGAGTGTAGGGTATCATGAGCTCATTGCTTAAGTACCTCTTGTTTATATTTGTATAAAACAATCAGTACTGGTAGTATAGTACACAATGTAATCAATTTTCACCCTTCAGTTGAAAATGGTTTTCTGGGGTCAAAATTTTCAATGTTACCCTCAACTACATGCAGTATTTATATAATATCACTTGCCCAGTGGGAAAAGATATATACCAGACAGGTATCATACTTTTAGATGCAATGATTACAGATGGCATAATTTGGTTGTACTTCTTTTCTAATTACTCTGTCTTTACAAAAAATAGATGAATTTAAAACAAATAATTGATAATACAGTGAATATGAATATTTATTACATGAACAAGGCCCGGTGTTCTAACCGAGTGATCCTTTTGTTGTTGAAGTTTGGATTGGTTCAATGTTCTAGAAGAGTTGCAGTATATTTTTAACACTCTACTTTTTCTGTTTACAAATATTGATATATTTAACAGAGCTTGGAGAACCATTCCCATATTCAATAGTTATACACATTCAAGTTAATTTCTCATTATGAATTATTTATATAATGATCATGCTGATGCCGTTAAAATGGAATACACTGGATGGTGTGGAAATTTGGTTACCAAACCCAATACAATGGAGCCATTGCTGTACTTACATTTTCTTATGATCGCTTCAAACTAGGCCATGAGATTTTGATCTGTTTATAGTCCTGAGAGTGCATATCAGTTGTATGAATTATTCCAGATTGTTTTTGCAATTGAAATCAATATATTCTCCCTAAAACCCTAAAACAATCTAGTTTACACAGTTGGGACAAGGGAACACGATTTGTGCAATCGTAATCCAATAAATTAGGTTGTACATGCATTTGACAATTTAAAACCTTGCAGTGGGAAGAAAAAGGGTATTTGCTCTATTTACCTAGTTTGTGGCTATAACTTGAGGGAGTTTGATAACTATTGATAATATATGCGATGGGCCAGACATGAAAAAGAAGACATTGACACTTTGTCAGAATGGATTAAATGTATCAGATGTATGTTAAAATCGCGCATTAAAAGATTGAGGGGCAATATGAGAACCATTTATCCTTCTGTATTCAATAATCCAGAAGTGAAAAAAGAATTAGATAGATTACATGATCAGTACGTACTCGTCCCTGCTGACAAAGCAGGTAATAACATTGTCTTTGTTTGTAAGGCTCATTATATTAAATGTATTTTAGAGGAACTTGGATTTAATTCTACAAGTGGAAATCTAACTTATACTCATAGTTCCCTTTCTAAGGAAAAAATTCTTCAAAAGCATATGTCAGTTTTGAATATTTTTAATATTCCAAACAACCAAAATGAATTTGAATTACCATATCTATATTGGATTCCGAAACTTCATAAAAATCCTTACAAACAAATATACATAGCGGGTTCCAGTAAATGTTCAACCAAGCCTCTTTCTTTACTCCTCACTAAGATATTAACAGTAGTGAAGGAGAAACTTTAAGAGTACTGTGCAACAATATATTCGAGAAAAGTGGTGTAAATCAGATGTGGATACTTAAAAATTCAAAGGAAGTTTTGGAAAATTTGAGATCACAAGATTTTACCAAAATCAACAGCTTAAACACTTACGACTTTTCAACTTTATACATAACCATTCCCCACGATAAATTAAAGTCCGGGCTTTTTGATATCATTGACAGCTGCTTTTTCAATAAAAATGGAACTCGTAAATTTACTTACCTTGTCATTGATCATTTGCA